CCACAAAGTCTGGATTCACCTCTGGGTTCCATGTAATACAACCTGGTAAATCTCTCGAATAAGGCCTTTCTATTATTGACAAACACTGATGCAACAACTTAGCAGTATGTTAGACTATTTTGAACCTGAAAAAAGATGTGCCAAGAGCTTATTAGTAAAGTACCACTGTTTAAATGGTAGTAATAATCATATCTCTTCCATATGAAATCAGAAATGAAACATATTATGGAAAACTAGTACTGGTTGATAATCCTAAATGTTAAGTATACTTTTTTCCCCCTGACTTTAAAGTGCTTCTACTTCATTCACCTACACAGGTCCAGACTGATGGCTTATTTTTTAAAAATTCTTTGAGTTACTTCATTGGTTCTAACAATACAAGCTCCATGAGTTTAGAAATTGAAGGACTCTACAAGGTAGAAAGGCAGGCTCTATTCGGATAGAGCACATACACATGCTGACTTGTCTATGACACATCAATATTGTGCAAGAACATAAACACAAAGAACGAATAAGAGGGAAATCCAAGATTTATCCCTGTTTTTTATTCCACTACTGAGAATATCCATGCGGTAGCTGTGTCCACACTATAAAAGCAAATTGAGCTACGGTCCCAGAAACGCCCTATTGCTCCCCCGTAGTCCACTAGCACCAGTTTCCTACGGACAGCTGTAGAGACACAAAAGTTTGCATGTTTCAGGGTACGGTCATCACTTTTTGGTTTGTACTGGAATCCTGGCAGCTTCTTTCAGATTCAGAGAGGCATAAACATTACAGATGAAAAAAGAGCTCAGTTCTGTCCTTTGGGGTGAGTTAGGTTGGTTTAATTTGTAATGGTTCAAAAGTTTTGAGAGTCTCATATCCAGTAACTATTATACCTTTCTTCTCCCAGTTGCATCTTATTCTTCCCACCTGTGGACACAGGCATCTTCTCTTCTCTGCTCTTGGAACCTTAGTAATTCTTCCTCTGCCCATTACATTTATTTAATGCCTAATTTACTAGTTGTTTATTATGTTCCAGGCACTATATTAAGTATTTATGCAAATGAGATGGCATACCAAAAAGCCTTAGAATAGTGCTTGACACATGATAAATATTCAAAACATGCTATCTTATTTTCCCAAGAACTCTTGCAATGTTGATATTATTATTTCCCATTTTTCTGATGAAAAAGTTGAAATTCAGAAATCTTGCCTAGGTTCACACTGTTAGTAAGTGGCAAAATCACAAACTTTACAAATAATTTTCCATGCAGCATTTGTTTCCTTGTAATAGGAGCTGGCTGATAACAATTTGGCTCTTTGTGCATTGTATCTTGAAGTTGGCTTCTGACTTGCATAGGACTTTTGGAGCAGAGAGCTCTGTTTCCCTTTGAGAATTCTGCACTTCTAGAGCTATGGCCATACCACCTCTGGGCATCCCCAGGGTTCCTGTTCATTGGCCAGTGCATATTTGACATCATCACAGCCTTCTCTGGGCCCAGCCCATTCTAGATGCCTTAACATGTTCTTTCATTTAATCTTCAGACTGCCTGGTGTGAGGAAAATGCTACTAATAAGGCTCACAGATGTTTGTGACTCAAGTCACTTCAGTAGAAAGTGACAGAGTCAGAATTCAAACCCAGGTCTGCCTGATTCCAGGGTCCTTGCTGCTTCTTCTGTTCCTCACTGCCAGGGAGTCTTCTTCAAGGCTCTTCTCAGCACTTTCAGATACAGGCTTGCCATTTCAGATTCCTTTAGACTTTGCCTTTAGAAAGGACTGACGTGGTGCAGTCGGAGGTCTTGTATTGAGGAGCTTCATGTGGGCAGTCATTTTCTTATGGCTCATGGACCTATGTAGATGAACAAAGGAAAGGGGTTACTCCATCCCCAAGTACTTCAAACATGCTGGAACAGGGTGAGGGCTGCTCTGCTTATTTCTTTGACTACCTTCCTCAAAGGAACCAGTTTCCCTGCCTGCCTTGTGATTCTAGCATAGATAGATAGTGTTGGAGTTTGTCCTATTTTAAGTTTGTTTTGACTGCCTGCTTTGGACATGTTTTCAGCTAAAGCTGTTAGGATTTCAGTACATTCAGGACAGTGATGACGCTTCAGTCCTCAATTCATCTCTGTCTCCTCAGTTAATAGAAAGGAAACATAGCCCATCTGTCTGGACCTGTATAGAAGAATTTGGGGGGAAAAAAATAACAGGTAAGAAATGTTCCCTTATTTTGTGAGCTTACCTTTATTCTGTCCCATTGTTCCTACAGCAAAAGGCTTGAGCAAACATATTTGAGTTTTCCTTTTCCAATAAGGTATGTTTTTAAAATCACTTAAAACTGTACTTCTCAAGCTGGGCATAGAGATGCACATCTGTAATCCCAGTTACTTGGGAAGAGCCTACAGCAAGAAAATCGCAAGTTCAAGGCCAGCCTTAGCAACTTAGTGAGACCCTATCTCAAAATAAAATAAAAAGGGCTAGAAGCTGAGTGCAGGGGTTCATGCCTGTAATCCCAACAGCCCAGGAGGCTGAGGCAGGAGGATTGCAAGTTCAAAGCCAGCCTCAACAATTTAGTGAGGCTGTAAGCAACTGAGCAAGATCCTGTCTCAAAAATTAAAAGGGCTGGATGTGTAGTTTAATGGTTAAGCACCCCTGGGTTCAATTCCTGGTTCCAAAAAAAAGTGGTGGCAGGGACAGGCTGGAGATGTGGCTTTAGTGGTAGAACACTCCTGGGTTCAATCCCCAGTAACACAAAACAAACATACAAACAGGCAATGCATCTCAAACTTTGCCTCTGAGACAGTCTTTAAGGCAAAAAGAAAAAAAAGAAAAAAAAAATTAGCCACTGGTACTCCCACAAAGGTATCAAAAAGGCAATGGATGAGGAGTCAGTGCACCTTAGTTTATCTATAAAATCAGGGAATTGAGGGATAAATGGAAATGATCTCTAGTGAAGTGTCCACTCTGAATCTACAAATGTTCATATGTTTGGTTCATGAAAAAGAGTCACTATAGCGTGTTCCAGCTTCCCCCTCACTCTCTCCATTGCACAGGCACAACCTTAATGAAGAAAATGATGCTCTAATACAGGAGGAAAAAAATAGGATAATCTAGATTGTGGCTTCATGTTTTAATTTCACTAGGGACAAAGACCCCAGTGTCAGTTGTAGAAGGGCTGTCTGTTGAGAGGAAATGCTGAGATGAAGGGCACAAAGCCATGTGCGAACTGCTAAAAAAGAGAGAAGCACTGAAGAACTGAGATCATTTTAAAGGAAAGATAATAACAAAGTTTGCTACATTCTTCTGGCTACAGATTGCTTTACAGTCATTCTTAAAGGCTAGTGGAAAGGGAACAGGAGGAGATAGAGGTGTAGGAGCTTACTTTTACAGAACACACCAGCCATCTTACAGGTTTTAATGCCCCCACTCATGGCAGAGAATGTTTAAAGCCCAAGTTTGGGAACAAACCTGTGTCATTCAAATTTGTTTGTCTTCATAACATCACAACTAGTGTTATAAATTGGGCAAGTTAATGAGACTGAAAAATATCTGGAAAAATGCACTAGGCAAGAACAAGCTATGTGGCTGCTGGCTTCACCAGTTAGTCACTTTGACCTTAGTCATGGAAGAGTATGAAATGTCACTCCTCTTTATTCCATCTACTGACATGATTAGGCTTATAGCAATTGGTGTTCTATACATTAAAATATGGTTCTTTTCCCTCCTCTTGCTTACTACAGGCTGTGTTCTTACATTAACTGTACAGAAAGAGGGAGCAGAATAAGCCGACCCCATGTACATTTCAACCCAGGCCCTGTGCCTGCTCTGTCTTGTGAATGGGGAAACATGGAAATAAGAAAATTGATATAACACACCACAAAAAAGCAACATTACAAAGCACAATTCAGGATATTCAATGCATTCATAAGGTTGTGCAACAATCGCTGTTATCTACCTGAACGTTTCCATCACTCCAAAAGGAAACATGGTTCCAGTTAGCTATCACTTTCTCTTTCTTTCTCCCCACAGTCCCTGGCATTCACTACTTTCTGTCCTTCTGGATTTGCCTATACTGGACATTTCACATAGACAAGTTATATTGTAATGGCCTTTTATATCTGGCTTTCACATGGTTTATTGTTTCCTAGGTTCACCCTTGTAACAGTTATCAGTACTTTCTACAGCTGAATAATATCCCATTGTATAGATGTACCATTATATCAATTCATCTAAACATTAATTAATGAATATTTGGGATGTTTCTACTTTGAGGCTATTATGAATAATGCCAGTTTTTGTGTAGACACATGTTTTTAATTCTAGGGTACATACCTAGGAAGGGAATTCTAGGGTGCATACCTAGGAAGGGAATTGGTGGGTCATGTGGTAACTATAGTTAACTTTTTTGAGGAATTCCCAGACCGTTTTCCACAGTGGCTTCACCATTTTACATTCCCAGCTACAAAGTATGAGGGTTCAGGTTTCTCTGTATTTTTTGTCAACACTTGTTATTATCTGTCTTATTTTTTATTTAAAGCCTTATATTAAGGAACAATGCTTAACCAGTCTTTCTCTTCATAACATTATGAGTATAAAGTAGTATCTTGTGGTTTTAATTTGCATTTTCCTAATGACTTGAGAAACTGAGCATTCTCTTCATGAGCATGTTGGCCTTTACATATCTTATTTGAAGAAATGTTTATTCATGACTTTCCCCATTTTAAAATTGAGTTGTCTTTTTTTTTCTGAGTTATAGGAGTTCTTTATACATTTTGGGTATTCTGTGTATTATCAGCTATATGATCTATAAATATTTTATCCCCTTCTATAAGTTGTCATTTCACCTTCTTAATAGTGTCCTTCAAAGCATAAAAGTTTTAAATTTTGATACAATCTAATTTACCTAATTTTTCCATTGGTTATTTATTCTTTTGGTGTCATATCTGAGAAACTTTTAACCTAAAACAAGGTCGTGAGCATTTACTCCTATGTTTTATCCTAAGAGTTTTTTTTGTTGTTGTTGTTGTTGTTTTGGGGTACTGGGGATTGAGCTCAGGGGCACTCAACCACTAAACCACCCCCCAGCCCTATTTTGAATTTTTTTTTAGAGACAGGGTCTCACTGAATTGTTTAGCACCTCGCTGTTGCTGAGGCTGGCTTTGAACTCATGATCCTCCTGCTTCAGCCTCCTGAGCCATTGGGATTACAGGGTGCATCACCGCACCCAGCTGGGCTATTTTTCAAAGCTATCACTGAGCTAGAGAGTGAGGAATGGAAGAACAACACAAATCTCACTGTTCGTATAGAAATTCAGCTGTTTTTCTGGAATAAATGCTTCTTAGTTTGCTGTAAGCCTTTGATTAAATTTCCAGAACACTGGAAAAAGTGATTTTGACCATTTTGCCATTTTGTTGTTGTTGTTGCCTTTGTGGAGGGATGTATTTTCAGATATCCTTACTCCACCAATTTTCACTGATGTCACCTATAAAAAGGTTTTAAATCTCTACAGTCTCAGTTCTGTGGGCTAATTATTTAATCATGGAAAATAATTAGGGAAAAGAAGTAAAAGTATAATTCTCATAGACTTTTCCAGATGAGCAGATGAAGTTTATCGAGGCATTTCTGAATTTAGTTCTCTCAAAGCTAAGGTTAAAGTAACATCTGTCTTCTGTCTTAACCCCCCCCCCCCTTTTTTTTTTCTTTATATGGGCTTTGGGGTCAGAAATGAGTTCAAATTCCAGCTTTGCTTCTTACTAGTTTGGTGGCCCTAGGACAAGTTATATAACCTCTCTGTGCCTCAGTTTCTTCATTTGTAAAATGGGGTCATGATAACATTTACCACATAAGCTTATTATGAGGATTAAATATGAAATGCTGATCATAGATGCCTGGCAGCCTAATAGATGTTAGCTGCAATAATTATTCTTAAAAACTATAAGCAAATAGCAGAAAGATCAGTAGAGTAGAAGGGAGAGAACAGGGGGAAGGAGAAGAGGGGGAACAGGGAGTACTAGGGACCGAATTAGAGCAAATTATATTACATGCTTTTATAATTATGTTAAAATGAATCCTAAAATGTTATGAATAATTATAAAGAAACAACTAAAAAATGTTCTAGCCAGGTTCAGTAAGACATTCCTATAAACTCCAGTAGCTCAGGAGTCTGAGGCAGGAGGATCACAAGTTCAAAGCCAGCCTTAGCAACTTAGTGAGGCTGTATCTCAAAACATAAAAAGGGCTAGAGATATGGCTCAGTGGTTAAGTTCCCCTGGGTACTATTTCTGGTGACCCCCCAAAAAGTGTTCTGTAGGAATAGACTAATGATTCTTGAGTAGAGTTAAGCTAAAGTCAGATTTTCTTTTTCTTTTTTCCTATTTCTTTTGTCTTTTTGTTTTCTGTTTGCTTGCTTTAATGAATTGAAGAAATATCTTTCAGTATTTTAAAGTAAACATTTGCATAAAAATAAATTTACACTGGGAGGCTGAGGCAAGAGGACTGCAAGTTTGAGGCAAGCTTCAGCAGTTTCAAGGCCAGCCTGGGCAACTTATCAAGACCCTGTCTCAAAATAAAACAATAAGAAGAGCTGGGTATATAGCTCACTAGTAGAGTACCCCTAGTTCAATCCTGCATACAAAAAAAAAAAGTTTATTTCTGGTGTTTGGCACATTCCTATAGTCCCAGCTACTCCAGAGGCTATGGCAGGAAAATCACTTGAGCCCAGGAGTTCAAGGCCACCCTGAGCAACATAGTGAGATCCCATCTCAAAAAGAGAGAATTTATTCATTTTATTTACATGTAAACATAATGTTATTTATTTATTCAACAAACATTTACTAATACCTAGAAAATTTGCGGCACTATACCCGGCACGGGAATGACAATGATAGTAAAATGAGAACCCTGCCCTCTCCCTGCCAGGAGACTGACAAGTCAGCAGGTGCTATGGGCAAAGGCTCTGAAGTGATAGAAAAATACCAGTGACAGTAGGTGCTGGGAGCATGACTTCTACCAGTTCCATTGCTTAGCTTTATCCCCTTTCCTTTGACTTCCAAGCCAAGGAATTGGTTCTATATTTTTTCTTAACTAAGTGAATTAGACCATGAAATGTTTTAAATTTCTAAAAATGAAAGACAAACACCTTGAAATATGGAAGGCACTAAAAATACTGTTTCCTATAGGGCAAGGGCTTCCTACTAGTATAGTTACTTCTAGGGTTTTTGACCTGAAAATTCTTTGCCATATTGTTTTCTTTGTGTTCACTTTTTTCCCCTCCTTTTTTCTTTTTCTTTCTCTTTTCCACTTGATCTTCTAGAGAGCTGGATAATTCCCAAATAAAAAAGTGCCTTATGAAATTCTAAGGGTGATTTATATATAAAGACAAAATATTTTTTAAACATATAAGTTCTTTATAAAAAAGTAGTCTCATGCATGTTGAAAATATAATTTTAATTCCATTGCATGTTTCAGAATTCTCAGTCGTAATCCTCTGACAACTGTTGAAGATTCATATCTTTTTAAATTGCCAGCATTAAAATATCTGTAAGTATTACAACAATTTTAAACTCAAGATATGATTTCTGCTCTTCTTGTTTACTTCATCAAAGGGTTAAGTATTTTGTATTAATACTAAAAAGTCATAATTTTAATTTTAATTAGTTACTGGAGAAAAATGTTATGGTAAAGAAGAGTTAAGGAAGGATATATCATGGGGCAAGACAGCCATCAGAAGAAGGCAGCCATATTAAAGAACACTTACAGATATGGAACATGTAAACACATGTAAGAATATATTATTTATCCCAGAAAGCACAGAGGAATACGTGTATATTATTTTTAAAAAAGAAAAAAAGAGGGGCTTGGGTTGTAGCTCAGTGGTAGAGCGCTTGCCTTGCATGCGTGAGGCACTGGGTTCGATCCTCGACACAACATAAAAATATATAAATTCAGATATTGTGTCCATCTACATCTAAAAAAAAGAAAGAAATGATGCAATATGAAAATAAGAAGTAAGATGATGGTTTAAAAAAGATGTAAGTTCTATGTTTCAATGCCAAGATCATTATTTGATGGTGCAAATAGTAAACTTACGTATCTTCAATAAGAGCTTTATGGAATTATCTTCTATGCGAAATAAACTCTTAAGGCAGCTTGTTTTATGAGAAGCCAAAATAGAAAAGTTATCACATGTCCTTGAAATATTTTTTCAAGTATAGAATATTTATTGGGGTTCATCATGAATATCTTGGCTTTCTCTTTCAGAGACATGGGAACAACTCAAGTATCACTTTCGACAATTGAGAATATCCTCCTGATGACTCTTGAATTGGAAAAACTGTAAGTTTTTTTTTTTTCTTAGATTTATTTTACTTGATATTTTTTAGGTCTCTTTTCATATCTTGAATTTAAAATTATTTTAATACATTATTTTCTTAACTTTATTGAGGTATAATTTTCATGTAATAAAATTCACACTGTAAGCATACAGTTTGATGTATAGTAATGTAGTTACCACCACCTGATGATATAGAACATTTGTCATTCCCAAAATAGCCCCTTACATCGCTTTGTATTCATCCACTCCTCCCACCACCAGCCCCTACAAACCACCAAATCTTTTATCTTTCCCTATAGTTTAAAATTTTCCAGAATGTCTTATAAATAAAATCATCTAGTAGTAGATTTTTAGCTTCTTTCACTTAGCATAATTCTTAGCATATCTACTATCAGAATAGAAGAGTTGCAGTTTCTCCATGTCTTCATCTAATCCTTGTTTCAAGTTATTCCTTGTTTCAAGGAATAATATTTTTTTAGCCTTTCTACTAGTAGGAATGTAGTGGTATCTCATTGTGGTTTTAATTTGCATTTCTTTAATAGCTGATGATATTTAATATCTATTTTTATGCACGTTTCTTCTCTTTATGCTTTTACATGTTCAAAGTGTCCAGATTTGGCCAATGTGATCTCTATTGTTGTTTAACCACACAATGTGAGTTAAACTAAGCTATTTTTTATGCCCAGAATAATGTCTACCATTTACCACTCTCAAGCGGAATTGAGATATGGACTCCAGTAGTTGGAGACTTATTCAGATCCTTCTTAGAATTCTATCTTCCTGTGCACTCCTAACCCAGAGCAAGATTTTAAGTTGAAAGGAGATGCTTTTTACTGTCACCCAATTCTAATTTCTTTTTTATTTAGGCCTTCCATACCCACTGCCATGCTTTCCTTTCTGGTGGGCATCTCCCTCCTCCTTCCTATATATTTACAGTATTCAAGAGCCACATGCCAGGCACCATGGCACATGCCTATAATCCTGTCTGCTCAGGAGGCTGAGGCAAGAGGATCATGAGTTCAAAGCCAGCCTCAGCAACTTAGCAAGGCCCTAAGCAATTTAGTAAGACCCTGTCTCAAAAAATAAAAAGGACTGAGAACACGGCTCAGTGGTTAAGCACTTTTGGATCCAATCCCTGGTACAAAAATAATAATTAGAAAAGCAGTTTACCATTGGTTTCTGTCCAACTTGTCCAGGCTATATGTATCAAGAACTCCTTTCTACACTGTCCTGTGGTAGCCTTGGACTGTTCTTCTACTACTCAAGTAACTCCTTTTCCATTAACTTAATCCTCTGTGTTTCTATTTATAGGATCTTACCTAGCCATTTGGCCTGCTGCCTCTGCCAGTTTAAAAATAATATTGAAGTTGTCTGCAAGACAGTGAAGCTGCGATGTGACAGTGCATGTCGGACAAACAATACACGTTGCCGTGAGTCTGAATTGCCTGATGAGAAATGTTTTAACTTTTGTTTTGTTATTCAACTTTTAACTGGTGATCATAGATTTTTCAAACTAATGATGAAACTGCTTTATTTTTATTTATTTATCTAGAATTCAACTCCCTAAATTTCTGAATTGCTCTCTTGCTCAAAGTGAGGTTTTCAGCTATAATTTAATAATATAGCTATTCCATATGCCTAAGGATGAAGAGAAAGGAATAGAAGGGAGAAGGAATAATATTAATGGCCACACATGGTGTCCTGTGCTTTCTGCTTGGTACTTTGTTTTCCAGTGATAACTTATTCATATAGTACAATGCAGTTAGTAAGCTGTTTTTTTTATACACTAGGTCTCAAGTGTCCTCTGCCTTATAGGGCAGGCATCAATCTATTTTGTTCTGTTTGTGCAACTTTATAAAAGAGAATAAATATTTTATGTGAAGTCTAGGGGTTTCTGATTCTATAATAAGAAATTGCACCTAGACCATCCAACTCTGAACTTCTCTTAATCTCAAACTTTTCTATCCTCAGGTAATTCATGTGCTTTCAAATGTTTTTCTGTGTATTAGGTTTATTAGCACTAATTTCATGACTTTCAAAATGTGGTTGCTTTCATATCCAAATAGCTCAAATATAGGTCTCTACCAGTGATCTTGGGCAAATTATAACTAATAGCACCTTGCTACTTACATGCATATAACTTATTTTTCAAAATGATTTTTCACCAGTTACATTATTTCCTTTTTCCCCAGAGGTGAGCAGAACAAGTATTTTTCATCTTCATTTACAGATAAGGAAAACAAGATGGGAGGTGTCAAGTGCTATAGCCTTGAACCCAGGTCTTCTGTACCCAATTCTAACCCACATTCCTCTTTTGTCTCCAACCTTACCTCCTCCTTGACTCTCACCACACAAAAAAATACTTTTAGCTCTCCTGGGAAAGAAACCAGCTATTGCTGGGTATGATGGACTGTAATCCCAGTGGCTTGGGAGGCTGAGGCAGGAGGATTGTAAATTCAAAGCCAGCCTCAGTAACTTAGTGAGGCCCTAAGCAATTTTGTGAGACCATGTCTCAAAATAAAAAAAATAAGAAAGACCTGGGGATGTGGCTCAATGGTTAAGTGCCCCTGGGTTCAAATCCCAGGTACCAAAAAAAAAAGGAAAAAAAAAATCCAGCTACACAATGGTACACTTGACCTCATTTAGCTAGAAGCTTTGGATGATTCCCAGAGCTAGAATTGCTAGTTTTCACATCTAATATGAAAACAGGGAAGGCTTCTGACAAAAATAGCTTTTCCATTACTGTACTTCAGAACCTCAAGTATTGTTTATCCAGAAAATGCTGTTATTCTGTCGATTTATTGCACATTCAGTATTGGCATAGAACCAGGCAAATTAAAAAATCTTTTAACTCACATCCCAGATCCCTGCCTTAATTTAGGGAAAGAACCAGTATGGATATAGTGGGGTGTTTTATTTTTGTGTGTGTAGAGGCATCTGTTATGGAGCCTAAGATGTACGGGGAACAGGGGCCAGGTGAAGGAACTGGGTGAGTAGGTGGAAAGGACATGTTCAGATGAGGGAGGATGTGTTAACAGAAAGAGCGGAGCCTGTGCTTTAGCATCTTGGTTCTTATTCTCCTTGGAAGAATGTCCTTTGTCATGATCATCTGTGATGTGAAGGAACAGGACACACTGAAGAGGTGGATAGAGGAAGCCTTGTGCCCCCTCTGTATCTGAGCGGGGACAGCATGGGGTATGTAAATGTAAGGAGACACAGCTGATCTGTAGAGAATCTCTCAGAGCCCATGAATATTTCTCTTCTAGTCTTGGGCTTTTATTGAGTATTGGGCAATTGGCTGTCCTAAACAGAGTTCTTATACACAGTATGGAATATTCTGAGTTAAGTAGCACTTTGTCAAAAAAGATGTCTTTTTTTTCTTTGTGTTGTTGCCATTTCATAGGTTTAATTATGAAATTATTTTTCTTTCTTCTAAATGACACTTAAATGTTTGGCTGGAATGTATGGCTGTGGACTGACAAAAAGCTGTCCATCAGTCTTCTGTTATCAAAAGTAGTCTCTTCTTTTTTGACAGTTCAAGATGCATCTGTAGGGAATGCAGAAGGATCATTCATGAAGGTGTTACAGGCCCGGAAGAAGAACACTAGCACTGAGCTTTCTATTGAGCCTGAAAAGCCAGCTTCAGATAAAAATGGTGTCACCTTTTCGGGATTCTTAAATGAACAGCTAGACTTCAATGATGAAAGTGATGTTATAAGTGCATTAAATTACATATTGCCATATTTCTCAGAGGGAAATCTAGAAGACGTAGAGTCAACATTATTACCATTCATTAAACTGCTTTTTTCAAACGTACAAGATGGAGGTAATGCCATGGAATATTTGAAGAACAATACAAAGAACTCCTCTCTTTCAACTGCATCCAACAATTCAACTTATAAAAACAAATTAAAGAAGCTTCATTTTCTGGAAAATTTGTTAGATGCAGAAATTCAGGAAAAAATTGATGAGGTGAAAAAAAAAGAAAAAACTGCCATGCTTATGCAATCTAGGCTTTTAGGTCCCAAATTTAAACGCCAAATCTTTCAAAAGAAATTGGAAACTGCCCAACCACAGGAAAACAGCCTAGCAGAGATTGAGAGTACAAAGAAAAGGCTGCGGAGAGTAAACAGAGTCATCAAGGGGCCGAAGGGCATACGGAAAAGACACCTCAATGAAATGAGAAAACAGAGTATGGGAAGGAAACAGAGTGCCTGGGCACTTGCGGAGAATGTTGCCCAAGAAGGCAGGCTCAGGAGACCAATCCCAAGGGAACTAGAGCAGCTTCACAAGGTGCGGAGGAGGCCCAGGAAGTTAGTGGGAAACTCCCTCCTGGACGCTTCATTTACAAATGAACATAAGGCAGCAGTCTCTTCTTTTTTGAAACAATACTCCTTGGGCAAATCTCCCACCTCCTCCATTTCAAAATTACAGCCTGAGATTAGAAACAAAGCAAAAGACTTAACCTACACCCTTTTTGTTTTAGAAGATGCAAATGCTCGAGTTAAAAGCATGAAGGCTGATAAACCAGTCATACGTTCCAAAAAAACTCACAGCTTTCATAAAACTTACCCTCTTGCAGCCCACAGAATACCCAAGGCCAAAGTGAGTCGAAAGTTCAGAAAGGATAATTTGCACAATAGACTGATGCTTGCAAAGAGGCCCCCATTCTCTGCAATAAGGAGCCTCATAAATTCCCCCCCACGAGAGGCCTTTTCATCTTTAGGAGACCTGAATTCTCAGGAGAATCCTTTCTCAGGATTATATGCTCTTTCAGAACCTATAGAAAGTGTTCCTGCAGAAAACAATACTGCAAAAAGTCCTTCTGAAGGAACTATTTTTGAAGCAAACATTACTGTGTTGGATGAACCCACCTCTGAAAATGCAACCTATGAAAACGCTGCTGCAGAGGCTGTAGATTCTGCTGTGACTCCTTTCAACATAATGCCAACTGTTCAACAAACCAATGAGACACAATGGGAATACCTCAACGCGAACACTGACTCACAACCCAAGCCTGAAGACTTATCCTACCCATTGACGGCATCCCCAGGTGATCAGTTTGAAATTCAGCTAAACCAGCAACTTCGGTCCCTCATCCCCAACAATGACGTGAGAAGGCTCATTTCTCATGTTATTCGGACTTTGAAATTGGACTGCTCTGAACCCTATGTGCAACTGGCCTGTGCCAAGCTCATCTCCAGAACAGGCCTCCTGATGAAGCTTCTCAGTGAGCAGCAAGAAATCAAGGTGTCCAAGGCTGAATGGGATACGGACCAGTGGAAAACTGAGAACTATATCAATGAGAGCACAGAAGCCCAGGGTGATAACAAAGAGCATGAGGAGACAAGTGAGGTGAGGGAAACTATTGAGCAAGAAGCCCAGACTTTTTCATCATTTAGGGTATACAATTGAAGCATTCAAGCGGGAAGACCAGGGGCTTCTAGTCCACATCTTGTCTTGGCCACATAACTTTGCCCAAGACAGTGATCCCCATTTTGTTCCATTAGAGAATAAAGTGGACTTAACACACAAGATAAACAAATAATAGGAAAAAAATGTGTGATAATAAGATGTAACATATTAAATTTGGTGTGTTCTTTAAGAAACTGCCAGCTATTCACCTGGAAGAATGGAAATTTTGAATAGTTAACTTTCATCCTTTCCAGTCTCTTTTTTACTTAATAAAAATCATTCTTTTTCTTTCTTTTAGCTCACAAAAGGAGTCCCGGGATATGGTCATAACAACAAACTCATCTTGGCAATATCTGTGACTGTAGTGGTGATGATTTTGATTATAATTTTCTGTGTGATTGAGGTAAGGACAACAATCAATTCAGGTTTCCAGAATACATCTTATCATTGTAATAGATTTAGAACGTATACCCTGAAAATCAAAGTTCCTTCCCCACCTACTACTTGACATTTCTCTTCAGTCACTAACACTGAGTTATGCTTTGTTCTTTTATTGAAAAATATATTCTAGGGATTTTTATTTATTTTTTTATTTTACTTTTTGGTACCAGGGATTGAACCCAGGGGTGTTTGAACATTGAGCCACATCTCCAGCCCTTTTTTGTATTTTACTTAGAGACAGGGTCTCACTGAGTTGCTTAGTACCTCGATAAATTGATGAGGCTGGCTTTGAACTCACAATCCTTTTGCCTCAGCCTCCCAAGCAGCTGGGATTATAAGTGTGCTTCACAGTGCCCAGCCCCAGAGACTTTTAAAGGAACTTCATTTCCAGGGAATCTTTGAGAAATTGAAACCAAGAGAACAAGCTATAATTTCTTAAGAAATTAAGACTAATATGGCCAGAGATGTCATCGTAGCAAAATTTGTCCAACCCAAAACCATGTCCACAATTTGTTACTCTCATTTTTGTAAAGTTTTGATGTACTTTCATTCTACCACTGATTTCTTTCCTTGTTACTGAAATGACAAGAGATGACTTCACTCTCAAGCAGCAGTCATTACCCTGGGGTAAAAGGAGAGGGCTAAAAGATCAAAGTGCTATATGTAGACTCAGTGGATCCACACAGCTTCCTCCTCCTCCAGTGTGTGAGGTATTGTCTAAGTAGGTGTTCAGGTAAAGCACTGCAGCTAAATTCTCATCAGGCTACTCCAGAGCAGGTCCTAGTGATAATAGTATATTCCTGGCTCTGGCTTCTGTTTACCTTCTGTTTGCTTACATGATGGTTTATTACTTTTCTCAATAGGCAGGTTTAGAATATTAAGAGTCATTTAATAAGCTGACAGTCTTGATTCTACCCTCCCAATTCAACCATCCAACTTAGCTAGTTTGCCTTTTCTACTGTAATAGCAGTCCTCCATTCCAGCCAGAGCAGCCTCTCCATATACCCGTCACACCATGCTCATTCCTTGCCTATCTAAAATTCCCTTACTTTGCCATGTCTGTGGAAGTTTTATGAATCTGTCAAAAACCAACTCAAGTTCATCTTTCTTTACAAAGCCTTCTCTGAATACCCCAGTTCTCCTGGACCTATGCCAACTATGAGATTTGTTTCCATTTCTTGAGGTGATTGTGAAGCTTTGTCCCTCCCCTCATAATTTAAATTTTTGGTAAACAATTTTTTAAAAGATGACTATAGGAGAGAGAAACACCAACATCTCTGTTCCATTAATGGAGTGGAACAGAGATATATAAGGATCAGATGGCTCAGACTTGAATAGAAACCTGACTGAGTATATTACATATCTACAGAAAAATAGGTCCAGGCCAGGAGTGATGGCACACACCTATACTGCCAGGGACTTAGGAGTCTGAAGCAGGGAGATGGCAAATTTGAGGCCAGTCTGGGCAACTTAGCAAGACCCTTTCTCAAAATAAAAAAATGAAAGGGCTGAGTAGCTAGAGTAGGCTGTGTTCAATCCCCAGTACCAAAAAAAGAAAAGAAAAATATATCTACAGGAGAGCTGGTCAGTAGTAAAAGCACAGAAAAGACAAGAAAGAAACTGGTTTGAGGGCTGGGGTTGTGGCTCAGTGGTAGTGTCCTCGCCTAGCATGCATGAGGCACTGGGTTCGAACCTCAGCACCACATAAAAATAAAGACAATAAAGTCCATCAACAATAAAAAATATTAAAAAAAAAAAAAGAAACTGGTTTGAATAGTGCCCATCCTAACATTTTGCGAGAGTAGCAATGGATCCCTGGGCAGGTGTGGAGTCAGTTTCACTTGCCAGACAACCCCTGGCCAGGATAGGAGATGAATGGATCTATCTACCTTAGCCCTTTTGTTCTAATTCTATTCTCACCAAGTAGCTTTCCAGTTGGGCTTAAGTGTGCCTCAGAGGCCTCTCTACAGAGAAGCAATTCCCTTGTGGTGTAGACAGATGTTCTGTTTGTGGAGCAGAAGTATTTCTTACTATCAGGGCATTTTCTGGCAATCTGTGTTGGAGTCAGTCCTGTAGCATCTATAAGGTGAGACTTCTCGGAAGAAAAGAAGTAAGTTCTCTCTTAGTGAAGACAGAGTCAAATTTCTGAGCCTAAGTGGTGCTTACACATGGGATCAGTTTGCAAAAAGCCTCTGGGAAGATTATCACTGGCCATTGCACAGATGGTATGATCTGCATCTCTGGGTGGCATGTGGCCTTTCTTGAAATTTCTGTAAAATTTTATACTGATTTAAATTTGTTTATACAGCTGGGTATCATGGTGCATGGCTATAATCCAGTGACTCAGGAGGCCAAGGCAGGAGGATCACAAGTTCAAAGCTTGCCTCAGTTAATTTAGTGAGGCCCTAAGCAACTTAGTGAGACTGTGTCTCAAAATAAAACATAAAAAGGGCTTGGAGTATGGCCAGTGATTAAATGCACCTGGGTTCTATCCCTGGCCCAAAACAAATTTGTATGTACAATTCAATCTTATATTCGTGTTTATTTATATTTTTATTATTTCCTCTCCCCAATTAGATGATGAGCTCTAGGAAGACAAGGGAGGATGTAGTAGTAGATACTACTATAGTGGACAATATGGTGTTCAAAAGAAAAGAGATGAGATATTATGTCAATTCCACAATGAGGAATCATGTAAATCCAGTATCTGAAGTAGCATACAGAGTCTAGCAATAGAGAGACTCAAGTGATCCTAAGACGTTTGCATATATTTATATGCATGCATGTTATGTGTTAAGAATCAAACCCAGGGCCTTGGATATGCTTTGCCACTAAGCTACACTCTCAGCCCCTGAGACTTTTTATTTATTTATTTATTTTTAATTTTTTTTATTGTTGGTTGTTCAAAACATTACATAGTTCTTGATATATCATATTTCACACTTTGACTCAAGTGGGTTAGGAACTCCCATTTTTACCCCGTATACAAATTGCAGAATCACATCAGTTACACATCCATTGATTTACATATTGCCATACTACTGTCTGTTGTATTCTGCTGCCTTTCCTATCCTCTACTATCCCCCATCCCCTCCCCTCCCCTCCCCTCTTCTCTCTCTACCCCCTCTACTGTCATTCATTTCTCCCCCTTGTATTATTTTCCCCTTTCCCCTCACTTCCTCTTGTATGAAATTTTGTATAACCCTGAGGGTCTCCTTCCATTTCCATGCAATTTCCCTTCTCTCTCCCTTTCCCTCCCACCTCTCATCCCAGTTTAATGTTAATCTTCTTCTCATGCTCTTCGTCCCTACTCTGTTCTTAGTTACTCTCCTTATATCAAAGAAGACATTTGGCATTTGTTTTTTAGGGATTGGCTAGCTTCACTTAGCATAATCTGCTCTAATGCCATCCATTTCCCTGCAAATTCTATGATTTTGTCATTTTTTAATGCAGAGTAATACTCCATTGTGTATAAATGCCACATTTTTTTTTATCCATTCATCTATTGAAGGGCATCCAGGTTGGTTCCACAGTCTTGCTATTGTGAATTGTGCTGCTATGAACATCAATGTAGCAGTGTCCCTGTAGCATGCTCTTTTTAGGTCTTTAGGGAATAGACCGAGAAGGGGAATAGCTGGGTCAAATGGTGGTTCCATTCCCAGCTTTCCAAGAAATCTCCATACTGCTTTCCAAATTGGCTGCACCAATTTGCAGTCCCACCAGCAATGTACAAGTGTACCCTTTTCCCCACATCCTCGCCAGCACTTGTTGTTGTTTGACTTCATAATGGCTGCCAATCTTACTGGAGTGAGATGGTATCTTAGGGTGGTTTTGATTTGCATTTCTCTGACTGCTAGAGATGGTGAGCATTTTTTCATGTACTTGTTGATTGATTGTATGTCCTCCTCTGAGAAGTGTCTGTTCAGGTCCTTGGCCCATTTGTTGATTGGGTTATTTGTTATCTTATTGTCTAATTTTTTGAGTTCTTTGTATACTCTGGATATTAGGGCTCTATCTGAAGTGTGAGGAGTAAAGATTTGTTCCCAGGATGTAGGCTCCCTATTTACCTCTCTTATTGTTTCTTTTGCTGAGAAAAAAACTTTTTAGTTTGAGTAAGTCCCATTTGTTGATTCTAGTTATTAACTTTTGTGCTATGGGTGTCCTATTGAGGAATTTGGAGCCCGACCCCACAGTATGTAGATCGTAGCTAACTTTTTGTTCTATCAGACGCCGTGTCTCTGATTTGATATCAAGCTCCTTGATCCATTTTGAATTAACTTTTGTGCATGGCGAGAGAAAGGGATTCAGTTTCATTTTGTTGCGTATGGATTTCCAGTTTTCCCAGCACCATTTGTTGAAGATGCTATCCTTCCTCCATTGCATGCTTTTAGCCCCTTTATCAAATATAAGATAGTTGTAGTTTTGTGGATTGGTTTCTGTGTCCTCTATTCTGTACCATTGGTCCACCCGCCTGTTTTGGTACCAGTACCATGCTGTTTTTGTTACTATTGCTCTGTAGTATAGTTTGAAGTCTGGTATCGCTATACCGCCTGATTCACACTTCCTGCTTAGCACTGTTTTTGCTATTCTGGGTCTTTTATTTTTCCATATGAATTTCGTGATTGCTTTCTCTATTTCTACAAGAAATGCAGTTGGGATTTTGATTGGCATTGCATTAAACCTATAGAGAACTTTTGGTAATATCGCCATTTTGATGATGTTAGTTCTGCCTATCCATGAACAGGGTATATTTTTCCATCTTCTAAGATCTTCTTCTATTTCTCTCTTTAGGGTTCTGTAGTTTTCATTGTATAAGTCTTTCACCTCTTTTGTTAGGTTGATTCCCAAGTATTTTATTTTTTTTGAGGATATTGTGAATGGAGTGGTTGTCCTCATTTCCATTTCAGAGGATTTGTCGCTGATATACAGGAATGCCTTTGATTTATTCGTGTTGATTTTATAGCCTGCCACTTTGCTGAATTCATTTATTAGCTCTAATAGTTTCTTTGTAGACCCTTTTGGGTCTGCTAGGTATAGAATCATGTCACTGCAAATAGTGATAATTTAAGTTCTTCTTTTCCTATTTTTGTGCCTTTAATTTCTTTCGTCTGTCTAATTGCTCTGGCCAGTGTTTCGAGAAATATGTTGAACAGAAGTGGTGAGATAGGGCATCCCTGTCTTGTTCCAGATTTTAGAGGGAATGCCTTCAGTTTTTCTCCATTCAGAATGATGCTAGCCTGAGGCTTAGCATAGATTGCTTTTACAATCTTGAGGTATGTTCCTGTTATCCCTAGTTTTTCTAGAGTTTTGAACATAAAGGGATGCTGTACTTTGTTGAATGCTTTTTCTGCATCTATCGAGATGATCATATGGTTTTTAAAATGTAATCTTTTAAAATTTAAATCACTGGGGGGCTGGGATTGTGGCTCATCGGTAGAGTGCTAGCACGGGCTAGCACAGGCAGGACCGGTTCGATCCTCAGCACCACATAAAAATAAAGGCATTGTGTTTTGTTCATCTACACCTTAAAAATAAATATAAAAAAATTCAAATCACTGGAGAAAAAATGAATTAATAGTAATAGAAGCCTAATGAAGGAGCAAGTAATAAAAGATGCCTACTTTTCACCTTAAACATATTTCAGTAAATGTTAAAAAAAAGAAAGAAATCATGATAGTAGTAGAAGAAAATAGAAGCAATATTTTTTTTTATAACCTGATGGAAAAGAGCTTCCTAAGTCTGATAGCACAGGCAGAAACCTTTAGCAGTCTTTAGCAGATGTGACCATCCTATCTCTGATGCCCATTAGCAAACAGTATGTATGGATGTGAAGCATATAGAACAAACAGTTTCCACATGTTATTTTATTTAATCCTCACAAAAATCCTGTAGGATAATATTATAAACCCTCTTTTACAAATGAAGGAGATCAACTGACCTCGGTGGCTAACCAAGAGCAAAATTCCAGTTCCTATTACAAAGCCTGTTCACCTCCTTAAGAGACAAAAATACTGGGAAATATTTGAAATGTTGAAATACAAAGAAAACCATTGCAAACCATTGTAAGGACTAACATGGATTTATAAAACTTTTTTTATACTAAATATGTTAGTCCTTAAGAAAATAAATCCATAAGAAAAAAGACAAGGGGGAGGGCTGTGAAGAGTAGGTGTGTTTCTAGTCAAGCCACCCACCTCTGTCACCAGCACTGCCTTGTGGCCATGGATGAGCTATTGTTATAACCAGTGGTCTCTATTACCTCATGGAATAAAGGTGATTTCAGATACTTTCTTCTAGTGCTTTTCTAACATTGCATTTTTATTTATATTTTTAATCCTTCTGGAATTTGTGTTTTGTTTTAGTATGGTTGGAGTAGGGAATCTTTTCCCCCCCTACATGATTACCCAGTTGTTTCAAAACTATTTTATTTTATTCTTAATATTTTTTTTGGTTGTCAATGGACCTTTATTTATTTATTTGTTTGTTTGTTTGTTTGTTTGTATGTGTTGCTGAGAATCTAACACAGTGCCTCACACATGCCAGGCAAGTGAGCCACCACCCCAGCCCTTAAAACTATTTTAATTAATGGTTGATTCTTTCTTCACTGATGTAAAATACCATCTTTATCTGGACTCTTTTTTCCCATTGATCCAGGTGTCTTTTTCTATACCAGTACTAACATCACACCACTTAATTCCAGTTGCTTTATAACATATTTCAAGCTATATATTTGGTAGGGCAAGCTCCTGCTCTCCTGATCATTTCGTACATTTCATTACTATTCTTATATATTTTCTCTGCCAAAAGAAAAACAAAATAAAAACAAAAACAAACAAACAAAAAAACTGTCTTTGAATTTGAATAGGACTAGATTGAATTTGAAAATGAATTTGCGAATTAACATCTTTACAACATTCTGGGAACATGTAATCTCATGCCATATATTCATTTCTTCTTAATGTGCATTTATTTATTTATTTATTTATTTATTGTGGTGCTAGGGATTGAACTCAGGGGCACTCCACCACCGAACTGCACTCCCAGTCTTTTTTATTTTTATTTTTTAAAAGGAAGCATTTCCTTCCATATTTTATTTTTATGCGGTAAACCAAGTGCCTCACGCATGGTAGGCAAGTGCTCTACCACTGAGCTACAATAAAAAAATTTAAAAAATATTTTTTATTTTAAGACAGGGTATTTCAAAGTTACCCAGGCTGGCCTTAAACTTGATCTTCTTGCCTTAATATCTCGGACTGCTGGGAATATAAGTGTGTGCCACCACATCCAGCTGAATTTTAGTATTTTCACTACGTAGATTTTTTTAATTGGATCTTTTTAGTTATACATGACAGTAGAATCCATTTTGATATATAGTTTCAGTTCCTTTCCCCATTTATGCCCTCATTTATTTTTCATACTGCATTGATTAAGACCTCCTCAATGAGGTTGAACAGCAGCAATAACAGGCATCCTAATCTTATTCTTGATTTTAAAACGACACTGTTGTTTAAAGTTCTGGCAGACATGTTTATCAAGTTAAGTAGTTCTTTCTTTTTCTACTATTAAGTGTTTTTATTAGGAATTATCTGTTGGATTTTATCTAAAATAGTCAATAAAATATATTAAGTGCCAGCTGCATGCAAGACCCTAAGCTAGGTACTATGGAAGAGTCAGAGAACCATTAAAAGGATAGAATTCCTGCCCTCAGAAAAGTTATTATCTCACTGGGTAGATAAGACTTAAAAATAAATATAAGGAATGAATAGAGACTTGGAGATTAGTGGTCATTGTGATACTTATGACAGTATTTTCTTCCAAAACAGATTTATTCCCATAAAACAGCATCACAAGATGATGAAGAAAAGTCCTTAAGGTAAATATGAGCCTGGCAGTATTTAAATGAGAATTTTATTTTATTTTTAATATTTATTTTTTAGTTGGACACAATATCTTTATTTATTTTTACGTGGTGCTGAGGATCGAACCCAGGATCGCACATGCTAGGCGAGCGCTCTACCGCTGAGCCACAACCCCAGCCCCTAAATGAGAATTTTAGAACTCATCTATTTCAATCTTAACAGTGAGGAAACTGCTAAAGGCAGGAAGAATACTTCCTCTCATGTCTCCCCTGGCTCCAGGAAAACTAGTTTCCCAGCCTGCTGAGGTCAAAGGCACTAGCAGGGATGCATCTGCTGTCTCCAGTCCTTAAGGAAAGAGAGTGGAGGGCAAGAGGTTTGGGCTGTGCCTGCTCCCACTGTTCACGTGCATCAGACTCAGCTGGAGCCCTTCTTTGAGGCTTTCAGGGACAGGGAAGACCTTGGGTCATTAGCGTGCTGTGCTATTCCCCTTCCAGGCTGGCGGAAGTAGAAGTAGAATGTATGAGTCCTTCCTCCAGGTGGTAGGAAAACTTTACCTTCTTGCCTTACTGGTCACCTTCTCACCCCCACTCTCTATTCCTTTTACCTAGATTTCATAGAATTTTAACAGGGAGCTTAGAAATAGTAGTTTGTCTCTTCCTTTTATAATAAGAAACGGAGAATAAGAAAGGGAAAATATCTTACCCTGTGGTCACAGTTAGTGTCAGAAAATGGTTCCTTTCCAGCTAGGTACTTCTCCATTAATTATACCCACACTTGGGCTGTGAGCAACATTTGATATTGTGAATTAGTAGACACATTTCAATGTAAACATCAGCAATGTTTGAAACAACGCACAGGTTTTTTTTTCCTATTGTTTTTTGTTATGTATATGTCTAAACTGATTTTACAACTCAATCATAAGTGACAGCCTGCAATATGGAAATCAGTGAGCTAGACAACTTTACTAATTGGACTTTGGTATTTACTTGATGTAATTCAACTTGTAGGATAAAGCAGCTAGGAAATAGAAACACCTTCTCCCTCAAGAGCCACCCTGCTCCCCACCCCAAAATGATGATACATGTTGAGATTTAAGTCCAAAGAGGACTGATGTGAAAGGCTCTGGAGAGAGTAAAACACTTCAGCCCAGTATGGTTGTGTACTGTACAAGGTACTTAGCCAAGAGGGTAAGCAGAGTTGCTAATCCTGCCTATGCTCATGTGGCTCTTTGGGAACATACATAGAGAGTTCTGGTAGCCCAGCATGCAGGGAATTGTTTTTAGGACCCCAGGTCTAGCATGATTTTGCTCATTGTGCTTATGAACTAAGGTATAGGCTTTGTCCTAAAAAGACCAAAGGTGCACATTACAAAAAGACATGAAAAATGGCATCCATCACTAATTGTCTTGTGCATGTGTTTCCCCCCAGGAGCTGTTTTGGGTTTCCGTGTAGGAGAAGCTCAACGGAAAGTGAAAATCAGATAAATCTGAAGAGAACCCAGTGCTGTGGCCAGGGAAGGCAGCGGGAAGCAGAATTAATGTTCCACTTTCTGTTTTCTAGGAGGGCTTTTTCTGGTTAAGGCCACTTTGGCTTAGAGATATGTACAGACCTCTCAATGCCACACGTAAGAAAAACATGGCACAGAAGCTACATGACAAGGACTCCTCTGATGAGGATGAGATTTTCAATAAGGATGCTGGGTAAGGGACTGGGGGTGATATAAAATTCTCAAGTGAAGAGGTAAGGAAAAGCTTAATTGCTCCTTTCAAGAGTAACAACCTTGGCTTTGTTCTTCTCCCAGGGATGAAGCCCCATCACAGACCTCTGCTCCTACTGAGGGCGGAGAGTAAATCTGTCTTGCCTCAAGCGACTGGCAAATTTTATTTTCTAATATTGGCTTCTCATCAGTGCTTGTAAAATACTTTTTTTTCTCATATTAAAAGGTACAAAATTCACAACCAATCCTAGCCATGTGGTAAAAAGTAACATGTAAATAGTTAAATGTGTGTATATAAACAACAAGGGCATAGGCAAGTAGAGCTGGTCTAGAGCTAGAATCCGCTATGGCAGCCATGCTTCTGTAAGAGGCAGTGTGTGCAGAGTTGGAAAGAGCTTCTAGGCCTCATGCCCCAGTGTAAATAATCATCTTTCAGAGGGCCAGAAAACACATCATCTTCAAGGAGTGTGGATTTCTAAATAAAATACCAGTTGTTCTGGTGCGCTCTTTCTGGTTCAAGAACCAATCATTTGAAACTTAGTTGACCTCATGCCCATGAAGATCTTCCACCTTCTGGCCCCTCTCATCAGGTATTGGGGTTGCCAGAATATTTGAATCATTGAACTTGCTGCACTGTGGGGCCAAGCTGTGCTTTTTTTCCCAAGCCTTCAAATCATGTGCAAACATATACCCTGTCTTCGTAGGGGATTCTCCACCCTTTAAAAGCTGGTAGAAAATTAATATTGGTTTATTGGTTTTTCATTTTTAAAATGTTGACCCTTGGACATCTAGCAGGATAGGGTAAAGAACATGCTAGAGCAGTAATTTCCCTAGATTTTCCTCCTTGAGCTTTTATTTTGGAAAACATGTATAAAGCTACTTCTCCATTCATATGGACTGCATCAGCCTCTCCTGACCCCACTTAGGGTCACATGTGTACTCAGCTCCCTTCAACTCCATCCAACCCCAAACCTACCCACTTCCTGCCTCATCCAGCACCATCCACAACTACAGGATTACAAGTGATAATTTGCAAAAGATGCAAGCATTCCTCCACTCCCATCTTTAGCAACAAAGTTGGTAATAAATGACATTTAGTGATACCTGTGTTGAGAATCAAGTTTGAATCCTGTTCCCCCAGTGTTGAAGACTGAACACCCAAGAAACTCCAAGGCAAGCACAAAAAGTTTTATTTAAAGAATAGAACAGCGAGAGAGAGGGACAGAGGCTTCTCTGCAGAGGTGGGGGTCCAAGTTGGTGCCTGTTAGCACAAAAAGACCAGGCCAGAAGCAAACTTAAGGGATCATCTCAGCCTTTTATTCAATAACAAAGTTTCATGCAGGAATAGGCTATGCAGGAATGGGCAACAGGGTCTCTGAGGGACCCACTTTCCTGGTGGAAAAATGAGCCACTGACCAAAGGAGGAGTTTGGGCTTATATAGGCTTATAGAGGTGATTTAATGAGCATGTCAGTTTGGGCACTCAAGAATTTGGGTTTTTGCAATGGGGATTGGGTCAGTGGCCAGCACCTGGAGAGGATTTATCTTGGAAGAGATTCAAGCTATCAATGTATGGCTTTTTTTTTCACTCCCCTTTCCCAGGCCACACCATCTTCGGGTTTTGATTTTCTATATCTAACAGTGTCCAAGAGAGTGGCAGTGTCCTGCGCTTTTACACATTTCAGGTTTCCTTCTCATACCCCCCTTCCTCCCCTTATCTTGCCTATATGACCAGAATGTGGGAAAGGAGCCTTCCAGGGGTACAGGCAGGAAGTGGGATGTCGCAGGGTGGGGAGCATTCATTGACAGCTCTTTGCAGGGAGGATCCTTGGCAATAGGTTGGAGGAAAGGTAGGTATTAGTATTTTATATCCTCTTGAATCAGCCCCCGTTTTCCCAACCCAATCATTTATCACCTGCATTGCCTGTTCTTTTGCTTCCCCCCTTCAACCAATCCCCCCTCTGAGAATGGAGCCCTTTCTGCAATAAGGGGAAATGATCGATGACTGCTCTGGCTGCTGTGGGCTGAGAGGGGTGACGGGGGTAAGCCATTTGGGTTTCCCTTTTAGAAATGTTTTGAGTTCCAATTGAGGGTCGATGTTAAAAGTTTGGTTTTGGAAGCAACAGATTTTAAAGTCATGGAGAGGTAGATGCTTCTGTGAGAAAAAGATGAGTACTGGAATAAGATTAATATGAAAAAAATGTCACGGCATCTGGAACATGTCAATGAATATCATAATGCTGATAGAAATCAGTAATCTCTCACCAGGAGGTATAAGATCTAAGAAGTTGATCTTATAACAAGGCCAGTGAGGGACATGACCTCTATTTGGGAATGTAAATCTTTAAGGATATTAGTTACATTGCCAGAGTTAAAGAATGGAAACTCAACACTTAGTTTTTATAATGTCATGGATGCCCCATAAGATGTAGTTTTCTAATTATGTAGTTTTCTGATTTTTATGTTTAGTAGAGATCCAGTTATTTCTGTCACTTAAGGCTAGATAATCATACTAGCAAACAGATCAGGCCTACTTGTGTAGAAAGTTAGAAAGATTTGTAGCCTGAAATTGACTAATTTTTTAAAAAATATTTTTAGTTGTAGATGGACACAATGCCTTTATTTTGTTTGTTTTTTTAATGTGGTGCTGAGAATCAAACCAAGTGCTTCACACATGCTAGGCAAGTGCCCTACCATTGACTCACAACCCCTGCCCTTAAATTGACTATTGACTAAAAAAACTTCCGACTCTGATAATCTCTTTTGATAATTATTAGGTACTCCTGTCTAAGAATCCCTCTTTTGTAGCCTCCAGTCTTACTTATTCTTGGTGGGGCTAACACAAATGTACATCTTAGGTTAAAATAACTATTGTCTTTCCTTTTAAATGCCTGGATAGGGCTATGCTTTTGTTATAACTGTTTTAGCTGGTCAAATTGACTTTGTTCTTATCTATTGTTATGAGTCAGCTGAGGGCTGGGGTTGTAGCTCAGTGATAGAACGCTTGCCTAGCTGGGGTTTGATCCTAAGCACCACATAAAAATAAATGAATAAAGTTTTTTTCTTTAAAAAAAAAAAGAGTTAGCTGAGTTCCCTCAGGGGGGGTCACTCTTGGGGACTTGACAGCAGCCTCTTAGTTCCTTTAGTGCTATCTGCCACAATGGGTGAGGGTCTTGTTGACCATAGGGCTTCCCTTGGAAGCATCATGGATATCTCCCTCTACAATGACCCTCCTCTTTGCAGCATGTGCATTGGTTGGCTTTCTGTTCTCCAGGGTCTCATTAATCCCTCTGATCAGAATGTCATGTGACCCAAAGTCTCAAAAGCCCTTAGAGAAGTCCCCTTATTCCCTGTGTTCAAGCTGACCTAACAGGGCAAGAGCCAAATATCAGCTCTTTTCTTTCCTGGCCCTTTTACTTCCTTAACTTTAGTCTCTAAGCTTTGATCTTAAACATCCCAGCAAGCTAGTTTCACTAGTCTCAAAGTAAAAGTACTGGGTTTTAACTTGAATATCTATACCTTTACAATTATTTACCCCTTATATTTAATTGGGATCAGTATTAGTACTGGAAGTTAGCCTTATATCCTGTTTGTCCTGTAGGTGATGGCCTATTCTCTCAAATTAACTCAGGTTGTTACATTAGAAATTATACTTTTGTAAGGCACTAGCAGATAACAATTATAAAGTTTGTATTTTCCTTAAAATACAAAATGAAATTAGCAAGAGTAAAAACATATTTAGTTTGTATAATAGCTATGAACTAAGAAACATAGTTTTTGTAAAACATAATTTTTATAATCCCAGACCTTTTCTTTAAACTTTAGTTTGAAGAATACCAGTTTGGTAAAATGTTCTTCTAAACCTTATATCTAAAAGATTTGTATACTTGGAAGATACGAATACATTTAGTATACAAAGAGGCCAGTAACAGCACCACAATTACATTGATGTTCTTATATTAACTAAGTTTAGCTTTTAAAGAAAAATTCAGAATCTGTAATGTAGTATAATACTCTAAAATAACAGTTGTTGTTTAACCAGAGTTGTATAAACCCTAATTCCTTTAAGACTAATTCCTCTAAATAATAAAACTTAACAGACATAAGAAATTATCTTGATAAGAACAGATTAATGTTTTAATATTTGACCTTAGGGGAAAACCTTGAATAACTTTAACTGATTGTGTTGCTTATATATATAACTAAGTTTTACACTAACTTTCTGAAATTTGCCCTCTATAAACCTTTTGCAACTTACTTAGACATTTTACAACTTTTTACTTTACCATCCAGAAACATTTCTTTTTCCTTCAACTTTCATATTAAAACATATATCTATTTCCTAGTTGTTGACCCCTTTTTAAAATTCATTCTGAAACAACCCTTATAAAATTTTTTTAATTTAGATAAATTATTTTAATAAGATGAAATACTTTTATGTTCTTATAGTACTTTAATTGAAACCCAACTGAAACCATAACTGTTTGTGTACAAATTAACACTTGCTAGAACCTTAACTCTTAGTAACCTTGTTTTTAGTGAAGACACAGAAACAAAGCAATCCATTTTCCATTTACTAATTTATGAAAACACATTTAATGTTTAAATATATTACCTTATAGAATTTAAGAAGTCAAGAGTACTTGATTTTGATTTTTTTTTTTTTTTTTTTTTTTTTTTTTTGGTACCAGGGATTGAACTCAGGGGTACTTGACCACTGAGCCACATCCCCAGCCCTATTTTGTATTATATTTAGAAACAGGGTCTCAACTGAGTTGCTTAGTGCCTCAATTTTGCTGAGGCTGGCTTTGAACTCATGATTTTCCTGCCTCAGCCTCCTGAGTTGCTGTAATTACAGGCATGTGCCAATGTACCTAGCTTAATTTTATATTTAGCCGTTGATGTTTTAGCACTTTAACTTTGTAAATTTATCAGATGTCTCTAAGAAACACATTTATAAAGATTAATCCCATTGATGATAAATCTAATTTACTCATTTCTAACTGTAAAAACCAATATTAGACAAGTATAGTGAATGTACTATCCATCTCTTCCTTGTTGAAGAAAAATCCTAAAAGCAATGGATGTTACGTTGTAGACATTTCATAGAAACTAACACTCTGTTAATTATCTGACCGCCTAGAAAAACTTGTGAGTTAGTAATTTTACTGGTAGTGCTGGGAACTGAACCCACAGCCTTGTATATGCAATGCAAATGCTCTACCAACTAAGCTATATCCCCAGCCCCATTAGTTAGCAATTTTAAAGACATCTTTATTCTCATCCATTTTTAAATTGAGCCCTTTTATTTAAGTCACATGAACTAAAAAAGATATTTGGATCCATTTTTCTTCTAAATGTTGATTTAGTGCTCATTTATCTATATGCCAATGTACATGATATGTATGATATGTACATGGACATAAGCACACATATTGTAGGCACAATACAATACACAGGTGTGCACACATACATAAAACAGACAGGAAACAAAGATCTTATAGCTGTGTGGAGGTAGATTTCCACAGGCAGGAGGCAACGCTGCAGATATTTATTAAAAACTCTCTATTAGATTTGACCTGCTATAAATTAAAATAGAGCCTATCAGACTTTTACATTATGATTTAAACATAGGGTAGGCCTAGACACTTGGAAATACTATGTGTGAAGTCTGGCAGCCATGGTGGACACTGAAATCAAAGGTTCAGGTGGCCACTTGTCCTTGATGACTATTAGATTTATTACCAACACCTCCATATATAAATCCTTTTTAGGATTTTGTGAAGAAGATTTTCCCAATGCATTTGAGAGCTAACCCTTGAAAATTGGCCTCTAAACAAAAACAGATTGTAAAAAAAAAAATTCAATAGTTAAATAAAATAAGATTGATCCGAGGGCCGGGATTATGGCTCAGTGGCAGAGTGCTTTCTTAGCGTGCATAAAGCACTGGGTTCGATCCCCAGCACCACACATAAAAGTACAAATAAAATTAAAAGCATTGTGTCCATCTACAACTAAAAAAGATATTTTTAAAAAGACTGATCAGAAAAATATATTAATTTAAGCACACAGGATCAAACGTAAAAACAGGAATTCTATTTAAA